ATTATATCCTTCCTGCTCTAAACGACCGATCTTTCCCAACCGGAAATATACTTCGCATTAAGTTGCTGTATAGTAAAGACTATATTAGAAATTATAACGATTTTATTATTATATTTTGATGATTGACGATGGAGCTATATCATTGTCCATTGCGATTGACCTATTATTCGATGCGTTTGGTTCGTTTATATAGTATAGCCAGGAACGGAGGACAGACTATATTGCCTTTAATTCCTACTTTAGGGTAGCAAAGCATCCAGACTCCTTCAGGAATCGCTCCTTCCTCTCATTTCACCTAAAACTCCCCGATTCCAATGTCCAGCAGCTATACACAGCTGCATCCAATTAATCCACTTAATCCACGTATGGTATCCATCCCCCCCCCCGCCCTATTATCCATCGACACCCATCCCACAAGCCATCCCAAGAGCGTGTCATACGTAAGATTGCTCGGTAATAATTATTTTAATTCGCCGATTAACGGGCCCAAACAGTGTCTGTACATACATATATACCTCGCAAGCCCTCGCTCTTGTAACCGGGGCCCGGATGGGGCCCGCTCGATGCGACCAGGCCCAATCCCAGGCCCCGCCGCTACCGCGGAGTCTCCTGGCAACTCTCGACGCTTCGGCAATTGCTGCGCCAAGATACGTCATAGCACTCCTAGCGATACAATACTCGTCAAATGAGAAATACGTACGTTACGTTATGTTTAATTATTATTGCCTCGTTGATAATCCAGCGACTGTTACGAAGCGTCGAGACACGAGACGACTCGGTGAACAATTACTATGACACTCATCTTATTCGCCACTATTATTAATTAATTATTTGTTTTATGCGTTAGTTATTTATGAGTTTCCTATGCGGCAGCAACGATCTCGTCCGCTCTGGTATCAGTGACGTCACGATTTCTTGATTAATTGCACCAATCGAAAACTGATCATTGATTGTTTTTCTGCTATTATTAATGAACGTTAATTAATATTATTATTTGCCTGCACGTCGATACTGGAACCGGCGAGACCGTCGCGTCGTTCGTTCGCTTCTTTTTTCACGATTGCGACTTCATTTACCCCATTATCCGTTTTTTCATTCGTTTTGACAAAATCTCTCCCCTACCCCCACTCATCCGCCACCGCCGAATTATAATTTTTTGGACTATCTACCCTCATACACAAACACAATGTTATTGTACGTCGATCCCTACTACTCTTCTGTAAATAGTTTATTATTATTTTATATTATTAATATTATATTATTTTTCTTCCGTTCTAGTCTAAAATAAAGCTATACTATCGCAACATTAATTATTTTCGTTTATTCTTTTTTCGAATTTTTACCACCACACGACAAACCATCCCTTGAAAAAGCCCAGTCCATCCGATTCCATCGGTCCCACCGTTGCTCCCACCTCATAGCATCGCAGTTTATATTATTTGTTTATAATTCTTCATTTTGTTTCTGTGGTACGCATGTCAAGTTTATATTTTTTTAAAAAGTCATATATATTCCCTAATGAAAATTCACTCATGAAGTGCACCTGGTTTCTCTGCTAAATAAGTGTTAGGAAGCTGCTCAAGTCGACATGCTCCAAGTAGAGGCTCGGCAAGTCTAGTCCAAGCCTATAGTCTAAGTCTAACAATGTAAGCTCAGCCTCGGCAGTGTTGAGGTGGGTCACGTGGTCACCTGGCCACGTTTCACCGTAGAGAATAAACGACCAAGAGACTAAGAGGCGTCGTATCCGCGTCGCAAATTAGAAACGACAGGGAAGCAGCACTAAGGCGATGTGTTCTCTTGCCGACCCGACTGGAGGAACCTCCGAGGAGCCCCTGAAACCTGAAACAACCAGCAACCCCGGCGAACCTCCATTTGCTCCTGACATTTCTATTTCCGGCTGTTGGCAATCCTGCCAACTGACCACTGGCTTTGCCTTGCTGAAACTTGGTTAGCCTGCCGACTGCGGCCATTGCCGTGAGTCTCTTTCTCTTTCTCTTGGGAAACGGGAAATGGAGAAGCGTAAAGGAGAGAAGGAGAGACGCACATGCGAACGAAGCATCACCGGGACGCTGCCAGCAGTATCGCTGATTCCCCGTCCTGGATTTTCATTTTTTTAATTTCTTTTTGCTTCTTTTCAAGGCTTCTTCACCTGGTTTCTTTTCTCGACATCTTTTTATCCAACGGCTATTTTTCGTGATACAAAGGGAACAGTTTTGGGCCGCGACGAAGCGAGAAACGGGCCCCTGGCTATTGTAATCGGGCGTCATGGTAGAGCCTCATCGCTGCTCCGACGTCGCGGCGGCAGCGTCCTCGGCGTGTAAGGCCCCCTAAACGGCGCATCCCTTCGGACAATTGACCAGCCATTGGGGGACGGACGATGAAAAAGGGGCAAAAAGCAGAGAATATTCGCTCAGAAAATTGATTCCTTAGCGACGATCGAACTGGCGGCGCTTTTGATGATTCCTTCTGGTTAGCTCACGGGAATCCCAGCCGAATCCCCTTCGCCTTTGGGGGATAAGATATCCCTTAGCTGGGTCCCCTCTCGCTCGTTTCACGGGATCCTTTAAGAGGCCCTTTATCGCGCGCGTACGCATGCCGAATCCATTAATTCGGCTCCTCTAAGAAAAATACCAGGGACAGACGGCTTATTTAAATGCGAAAAGGCCCCGTTAACCGGCCGACTCGAAAGCGTGCTCCGCACGCGATTCCGCCCTTAGCACAAGGCTATTTACACTCCTGCGCTCAATCCTTCGAGATGCTAATATAAATCACATGTCTCCTCGAAGCCAAAACCGATTCCGGAAGTGACGCAGGGTGTTCCTACCGTTGCCAGCCCCTAGCAAAGATCCTTTGTTATTGGGCATACCTCAGCCAGAAGGCATAGATCCGGCATCAAACTAATTTTAAAGAAGGTGAACCCGTGTCTGTCGTATGACCCTCTTTCAAGAAGTCCCCTCGTCTTCTTACGTGCCTTCGTCTTATGCGCCGTTTTGACGTTACTCCTTTGCGCGTGTCTCATACGGGGACCCTTTTTCGGGGCCCACGAGACAGACTCCGCCTCAAGGCTATTTCCATTTCTACAAGGTATAACGTCCTCTCGGACGGCTAGATTCGTGCTAACATTTTTCAAAGGCGCCTCTCCCCACTCCCGACACCCATATGTTGTCCAATTCACTTTCGGCCATTTGTTATATCGATCTCTCATACGCACCTCCCCTGTACATTGGCTCGTACACATACATCCGTACTTGTACCCCGAAGCCGCCAGCGTGCACGGGTGAGAACCTAAAAAGGTTCTGGCAATGCGCGGAAATACATAAAACCGAGGTTGCGCAAAGAATAAATCATTAGGAGCTCCGGGAGTTAGAAGCTATTATGTGACTCATGGGGGTTCGGCTTGGACAAAAAAGAAAGAAAAAAAAGCACTATGTATATATGTAACAAGGGGTAAGAATAAAATCAGAGGGTCTTCCACGGGCAATTCGGATACGATCGCTAACGATTTTCACGAAATCCCAGGAAAGGGGATTGCAGAAAAAATCCCCAGTGTAGGAAATGGGAAAATGGTGAAAATGAGAATAGTGCCAAAGCATCATTGTCATGATTAACCTAAGAGTAGTCAGTTGTACAAATGCCTATTAAGGGTTAACTAACAAAGATCCTGGACCGCTCGTTCAGGAACAATTGACCTTTGTTGTTCTTTGAACGTGAGAGAAACTTGAAGTAAACAAGAGGGGCACGCGACCATAGTGCCAGGAATTAGGACGGATACGGTAATCGACGCCTTCCTTGTTCTACCATGCTGATAGATTCGTGGCTACTCAAGTGCTAGAAAAAGGGGCCTACGTGAGTCCCATAGAGGAGGTTAGGCTCTACAAAGGTATTTCGGACGCTCTGCCGTTTCGTTTGGACCGTTGCTTATGCTTGGTAGAGAACTAAAAAAAGTGTAACGCTTCGAGAGTAACAGAAGGGCGGTGAAGAATCGGGAGAGAGCGA